TTTTTTTTTTCTATTCTGACACGGCTCCGTGTCAGAATAAAGAAAAAAAAAGAAAAATCAGTGTTTCTCTCCTGGGCGGCCGGGAGCGGGAGGCTCCCAGAGCGCCAGTGGAGTTTTTTTTTTTAACGGCAGCAGAACCGCCGGACAATCGAAAACTGTTGGGCAGAGCTGGCTGTCACTGCTAGCTCCGCACAATCGTTTTCTATTTACTTTTTTTAACTTTTTTTACTATTTTTCTGTTCTGCTCAGTCCCTCCAAGCCGAATGCCGCTATTCACTCACTGCTGTTCGGCATCTATAAGAATAGGCCGAACAGCAGTGAGTAGCCTGCCGGAGGTTCGGCTCAGCTGATCCAGATGTTGGATCGGCTGAGTCGAACTCCTTCTGCACTTCGGGTCAGCCGAACATGCTGAGCATGTTCGGCCGACCTGAAGCCATGCAAAGCAAGCCGATGTAGGGCTGATTTCAGCCGATATACGGCTGAAATCAGCCGTACAAGCCTGATGTGAATAGCCGAACAGTGTTCGGCTCACTTCACTTGGGGTCGGTTGTTCACACGGCTGCCCTCGGCAGCTTAGTGAATAGAACCGTAAATGTTTATGTTTTAAAAAAAACATACCCAGGTATTAAAAAAAATAAAACAGGCTGGAATACTCACCATCATTGCAGACCTGTCCCTTGCAGTTCCTCCTCCTCATTACAAGATGTTCTTAGTCTTTTAGGTTCATTATTGAGTACATACTGTGAGTACAAAGCAACATGGCCCTGCCCCATGAGGGCGCATCACCATGGCACCCTTCATCTACACAGAGTGGTGCTGATGTTATCATGTCAGCCCTACACTCTGCATCAGTAAGGACCACCCAGCCTGGGAGAATGGGAGGCCTTACATTGTTATGTGACTGGACTAAGGCTTCAGAAAAATGAAAGAAGAAAAGCATAAAATACTGCAATTAGAGGCCACAAGGGAGGGAAGAGCTTGTTGTTGTTTTTTAAATACAGCAATATCTATCATGTCTCTTTTTTAGCAATTTATAAAGTTATATCTGGCATTGCAAAGTGTTATATATGCCATTCTGTATAGTCAAGCAAGACAAATGTAGCCCATGCTAATGTTCCTACAGCATTTACTCCAAACTCTACTTACCGTAATGATGAAGGGCACAGTGTTAATAATCTCTAATATGAAAGGTATTCTTAAAATTTGCTCCCATATGTTTCCCTTTGGAAAAAACAAAAGCAAAAATATCAAATTTGTTAAAAGTATATAAACAGATTACAGACGTACTGCATGTCAAAGTTAGATGATCAGAGCACATAGACTATCATCACATCCTTAGTTTTTGCTTTGATTATTGCAAAACTGTATTTTAAGCTGTGAAAGATTTACGGGTCTATTCACTAAGCTGCCCAGCCGTCAGTAGCAGGCTGTTTTCCGGCCAACGGCCTGCCGTTCGGCCAGCTTCAGCTTTAGCTTTCACCCCGGCTCAGCCGACCCGAAGCATATGCCTTCGGCTCGACTGAGCCGCTCGGCCGACTTCGGGAGCTGTACGTGCTATAGTCCTGGGGCCGAAGCTAGCCGAAGGATCAGCCGAAGCTACGGCTAGATCCTTTGGCAGCTTAGTGAATAGACCCATTAATTCATATAATTTTGGTGGCAAGATCTTTCAAAAGTTAATAATAAAAATTAAACAAATACTAATAATAGACAGAAAAGAAATGGGCATGATGTAAAAAAAAACAAAAAACAATCAAGGGTTTAATAGCAAAACCTGTGTGATTTGATAAGGACAGGCCTGCAGGGTATTCAGTCACAGAAGTATGGTCCTGTACACAGATGTGACAATTCCTAGGAAAAGATGGTAATCCTGACAATTCATGGACTATAAATGGAATTTTTTTTACAATACATTGGAACAAATGGGCAATCGTAACACCAAAGGGTCAGTTGAAATTCATGGGCAATAGCAGGCAATCAAAGGAACAAATCCTTGTGGTCCATAGGAATAATGTTTCTTACATTGGTGGTCAGTGGGTAAAGAATCCCCCTTACATTGCCTTGAAATATATCTGTCAGTATGGTATCATGCACACAAGGATAAGAACCTACCTGTACCCTTTACAAATGTCTCATATTGTGCTTGAACAGTTTGTGTTTTTGCCAAAATAATGGGTACATTTTGCCACTTTTTAATGATTCATTAATTCTTACCTGAAAAACATTCTCCTCCATCCTCTGAAGCATAAGTTCATGTAAATGCAAGCACCTTTGGGCAGTTATATATCTTGCATATTCCCGCTGTTGACAGTTGGCAGGACCTGCAGTGCTAGAACTATGCAGACACCATCAAGCATGATACCAATCTGCCTGATGATGTAAGTGCTCAGTGGTGGCACCCAGTCAGTACTGTACCTGGAGCAGAGCACACCTACCAGGGGTACAGCATGATAGCCAGGCAATAGACATTTTCAGAGGGAGGGTAGCAATGGCTGCCTTCATACTTCTCTTATAACATGTTTCCTTTAATCTAAAATGAAGTAAAGCCTCCAGAGCCTCTGGTAGCTGTGTCAATATGTGGTTTCTGATGCAAGGATCAATATTTAGTAGATTTAGGACTGACTCTAGTTTTTTAAAGTGTGACTGAATTTGCAGAAATACATATTCAATCAGACAGAGCTTGTAATAAAAGCCTTCATTTAACCTCTACTTTCCTGTTACAGTAGTTTTGCATTGTGTCTTAATATGATTGTACAGTTCCATAGGCACCAAAGTTGTAAACGCTGTCCATTGCATGTTAACTGACTTAGTAAGACACATCCCTATTCTTTCTCCACACAATAACTGTGTTTGGGGTGTGGCCATCACTCAACTACACCATCATAGAGCACTATAGTGGGAGAGAATTTCCACTAAGAGAAAAGTGTAGTTGAAGGTATTTAAATCAGTTAGATATCACAGCACCTTGCAGTACAGGACTAAAAAGAGAAAAAAAAGATGTGCGACTTCAATTAGGCATTAAAAAAATTGCTTAACAGTGGGCTGAAGGAAAAAGTACCGCTTCATTAGGGCTAACTGCTCTTATACCTCAGCAGTTCAAGAGCATGTAATAGCATAAACAAATGTATACATAGAAGACCATTACTTCAGCCTTTGATACCGTGTTTCCCCGAAAATAAGACACTGTCTTGTATTTTTTTTGTCCCCAAAAAACACACTAGGTCTTATTTTCAGGGGATGTCTTTTTTTTTTTTTTTACTGTGCAACAAAATGTACAATAATCTAAAGCTATTCATGTACAACAATCCAAAGTTATCTGGTATCACTCCACCTATCACAGTAACTGGCGCTATAGATGAAGTATCTGCTAATGCGGCTCTGCTCCCTCCGCAGCCGCAGCCTTGCTTTCTACAGTCCTGGCATGCTTTGCCATGAGGGACAGTGGTACCAGCGGTGCAGCAGAGGGGACATCAGACAGTGGACGGCGCAGTAAAGTGCGGTACCATTTACCGGTACACATTACAGTACGGTACCATTACATTAAGCAGTGCCTTCAGGGGGACAGCAGTTGGTGAAGTATGGTACTGGAGTGCTCCCTGTCACTGCACTGCCCGAAGGGAGTCCCCAGTCATCCCCTAATACAGTATGTCCCTGCAAGCTGATACCATCTCTCCTGCTCTTCAAGTTCCCACTCACATGCTACCACCAAACTAGGTCTTATTTTCGGGGTAGGTCTTATATTACAGGAATCTTGAAAAATAGTGCTAGGTCTTACTTTCGGGGTAGGTTTTATTTTCGGGGAAACAGGGTATGTGTTTAGTCGATCTTAACTTTGTAAAGGCTGGATGAAATGTACAGCACAATACAGGTCTTCTATCTGCCTTTCTTTCAATGTGAATGTTAGCCATACTTTTTCATTATTTTTCTCTCTTTGTTTTAAAATACACACTGCAGTTTTTCTCCCACTGTTTAAAAAAAAATTGTATTCAATAAAAACATCTGATTATCTGATCTGATTATTTTATATTTTATTACTGGCTTTAGTGCTATCTGAGTAAATGATCTGGAACAAGTATGCAGATCAAGACCATTGCTACCATTATCGCTACTTCACTTTCTGCATGTTTGTTTTGGGTCAATAACTCAAAAAGCAATGGTGTCAAAGACAGTCATTCAAGTAGCCAGGGCCAGATTAACATAGGGGCTACTAGAGCACCAGCTCCAGGCTCACCACTGAAAATAGGCCCTGCCAGCCTGGATTGCCTCAGTATGCCAGATGGCAATCTGGGCTGGCTTGGCTGAAATCAGGCGGAGGCGCTGGTGGCTCTCTAATCAGGCAAATTAGGAAGCCACAGCAAGGAGTGAGCAACTGCCTAATTGGAGAGTCGCCTCTGCTGCTTCCCGTCCGTTCGACCGACAGTACCAGGCCCATGATGCTCTTAATCTGGCCCTGCAAGTAGCAGGTTTAAAAAGAGCTCAGTTCTCGTTTGCTAAGATATAAAAAGGCTGCTCTTGTTAACCTTTTCTTCTGAACATGCTAGAACATGCTATCTGAATTACTGACCCAGACAAGTATGCAGATAAGACATGCTGACTTCACTGCTTAAATTGTTGCTTTGGGTTAGCAACTCAGAAAATACTGAAGCCCTAAACAGCCAGGTAGCAGCATTTTTGGAAGGAGATCAGCATCATTAGCCTACTAATTTCTCAGTACCATTTTCCATTAAGGAATGCACAAAGAAAGATTGAAACTGAAAATAAATATTATGGGGGGAATTTATCATAGCAATTGCGAGTGTTTGAACTCGCACGGAATATATTTGCACTAGATTTATGATGCTAGTGTAATGTTGTTGTTAAATGAGGTTAAATAGACTCCAGGAAAGAAGACTTGTAACTCCAGGCAAAAAGCTTAACTGTCACATCTTGAAGAAGTGGTCAAGGGGACTTCTTAAGTTGTGATTGTTTTCTTAGGTGTTGCTCCAGTTTTAGAAAGCCCAGAACAAGTGCAGGTGAAAACAGGTACAAAAAATATGCAACTGAAAAAGTAGTGCAAGCTCTGAAGAAAACAGGTGCAAAACACGTGCAGTTGGAAAAGTAGTGCAAGCTCTGAAGAAAACATGTGCAAAACACCTGCAGTTGGAAAAGTAGTGCAAGCTCAGGTCAAAACAGGGGCACATGTTGAAAGACAGATTTGCACATAAAAAAATGATCTAAGAGGCTAAAACTGTCGCAATTGCTTTGATAAATTCCTCCCCATGTGTTTTTTCGGTATTAATTCTACACTTATCAAGTAAGGTAATGGAAGGAATAATTGGATTATTCTAAAGGGTATCTATAGTCAAAAACTAAAAATAAATATGTATTTCTATATTCATTTTCCATAAGTTAACAATCCCACATCTGGTCTGTGTTTATGTTTTGAAATAAGTTTTCCCATTCCACTCCTAATAACCATATCGATCTAGAAGTTTGTAAACATACCTATTGAAGATGCCCATAGGATGTACATTACCTCCTCAATGCACTGACACAATTTCACGCAGCTCTGTGAATATGCATTCTCTTTGTGTCACAACTAACAAAGCCTGCCTTCTGAACTACAACTCAACATCTGAACAATGTAACATTATCATTGCTTGCTAGAAGCAATGCATTATGGTCTATGAAATCATGAGAAATCGAGATTGCATTACATCAAGCAGCAGGGAAAGAGACACAAAGCACACTGGGACTCCAGAAAATTATTGAAAGTGATGGGCAGTTGAAAGGCAGCACTCACTGCATAAAAGGGATTGTTTTCTAGTAAACTTTGATTACATTATCAAAAACAAACCCAAGTATGTGACTTTAGAACTCCTTTAACTTCAATCCCCTATAGCAACCAGTAAACGTAAAGCTAATTGACTTCTCTACATTACTGCATTTGCATATCATTACTGTTTTTGGTTGTTGAAAAGCTGTAAATAATATATATTTTATTACACACGCACATTTTTTAGCAATAGTTACAATATAAATATAGATATATTTTAAAACAACAAAAGAGAATTAAAAGATAACTAAGTTAATTCACCTGCCAGCTGTTTTGATGGCTTTTCCTCCAACATCCCTATCAAAAAGAAAAGTTCTGCTCCAGTTCTACCACACTGGGGAACACTTCTCTAGCCTCAGATGCAAAACCCTCTCCAGACCCTGTCTTCCCCCACAAACACAAGCTAGAAAAGAAATAAGGACCACACACTGATCATCTGTTAGTTCTTTAAATATTTTTTGGGAAACAAGTAAAAAGGCAAATTTACCTTCTGGCTTCGACTGACACTTTTTACCCTTAGACCCAACAGGGCAAAACTCATCAGAGATAGCCAGCCTCTTTGCCTTTTCCAATATATCTGCTTTGAGCACTGATTAATGATCAATGAGTGGCCTCCATTACTGTGTTTGCTTGAATAGCTTTCCTAGGCTGCTTCTTTTGCTCTCATCTTGGTCATTTCTTGCTAATTTGACAGTTTTGTAAGTTTTGGACAATATACAGAGTCATTCATATGACAAATATTGGCATTACTCTCTATGTTTTTTGCCTATAGCCTTTTCTATGGAGCTGACATTACAATATGATGTACATGGCTGTTGTACAGTCCATTTCCAGCCATATATGACATAAACTGAGGGAGAAGTCTGCTGCTATACTATCATGCTCTAAAGGAAAAGTGGGTTTATGGGTGAAGGATGTAAGGTGAACACTTTGGAAAGTAAAGCAGATATGAGTCAAATTAACTTTGAAAGAGGAAGTGGCAAAGTTTCCCAGCCTTGTAAGGCATCTTGCCCCCATGTTGATGGGGACAAGGGCCTCCTCCCCACATTCAATGCCCGGAGAGGATGTGAGGTTCTGCAAGGGGGGACTTATCAGAATATGGTCAGGCAAAACAAACGACAAACACACTCAACAATTTGTCACCTGTTATACAGTAAGGTGCACACGAAATGGGCTTTGAACAGTAAAACAGTAGAAAGGCATCATGGCACACTCACAAACCAGCATGTAAAACAACTTGTCTCACCACTAAGGTTAATAACAGAGGTTTGGATACACGTCTTCTGCAGAGGATGTGAAAGTTGCACTGCCGCGCCAAGGCACCTCTTATAGTGCAGAAGACGTGTATCCAAACCTCTGTTATTATCCTTAGTGGTGAGACAAGTTGTTTTACATGCTGGTTTGTGAGTGTGCCATGATGCCTTTCTACTGTTTTATCAGAATATGGAGCACCCTTTAGAATAGGGGGGCACCCAGATATCTGATCTCCCTAGGTGAATAAGTACAGGGTACATAGAACCTATTGTTTCTCATTCACAAAATAAAATTTAAATTGTAAATAAAAAAAATCAACACCGTGATGAACTTAAGCCCCAGTCACACTTGCAAATGGCGCCAATTGCAAGAGTCTCACAAATTCTTCAGCGAGACGCCTGCAGTCTTCTGCTGGTGGCCGATACTGTACGATACAATGACAGCTGCCACTGACCGCAGCTGTTTGCAGGCAATTTGCAACTAATCGTACATGTTTACCTGTGGACAATTGTACCTGGATGCAAACAGTCTGTCTACAGCCCGCAGCAGATTACATGAGTCTCAAAGAGGAATTTATGAGACTCATGAAATTGGCACCATTCACAATTGTGAATGTCTTAAATCGGGACATTATTGATTTTTTCTAATAAAGGACATTTTGGTGTGGGTGTTTTTATTTACTGTTTACATTTTTTATTTTGAATTAGTAACAAGGGATAGTATGCAGCCTTTGTCCACTTACCTAGCATGAGAGGATATTGGTGGGGCAATCTTATTCTGGGATTTACAGATTCTAATATCCCTCCTGATGTTCCCTCTGAAAACCCCCACATCACTTTTTGGAGCTCAGGATGTGGGAATGGGGCCCCCTTAACATGGGTGAAATAGGTGCTATGCTTTGCCTCCCCCTGACCCCCATGGCCCAGTGACCCCATGACCCAGTATATTTTTGTTAATGGGATGTTCAAACAAGGCTTTTCTACCTCACTTTTTTCTAGTAGATTGTATTTTAAATATGTTTTAATTAAAATATGTTTTTTTGTTATGAGAAAAGATGCATCTCTTTTAGTTTGCCATACAATTAACATTTTGATTGTCCTTTCTTATACTAGCATACTGTATGTATATGATCATATACATGGGTACATTAAAAAACAGCACTTACCTTGTAACTTAGATAAATGAGCAGTATTGTTTCAAAAAGGCTGATCAGAGCTACTGCAACCTGAGAAACAGATTGGAAATAAGATAACTATTCTTCAGAGGAAGGATTTATAATAGAAAGAAACACATTATAAAATGTTATTATAATAAGCATAATGTTAATCAGGACTGTTGTTACTGAATTATTTAACTTCACTTTTTTCCTATTTTTTAATTATCTTTTTTATTAGTTATTACAATAGTTTAAGATCAAGGTTCATTATTTCCTGTACTATATATCTTAGCAGAACTCTCATTTCTTTGTGGTAAATTAAGGAATATGTGACAATTAAAATGTATTACTAAAGTACTTTTCTGTCACTGCAATGTTGTTGTAGGTGAAACCTTTGAAAATACTTTACTAAACTGTGAAAGCAGAAAGAAAACTCCAACATGTCTGCATTTTTTATTAGGACATAAAAGTGCATGTTTAATGAACAGTTTAAAAATACAGTGTTGTTGTGCTTTTATTACCAGAACTGTTATTTTTCTCAATCATTATGAGAAGAAATTATAGTAAACATGTTATTTCCAGTTTCTACTCAAGTACTTACATACATTTTAACTCTCCCTAGTGGCAACACATTTGTCATGACAGATACTGTTAAGGAGCTAAGGATGCACAAGGATTATCAGACCATGCAAAGTGTTTTATCAGACTTACAAGCTTTTTCAGAATAAGGAGACTTTTAGACATCATATCCAATGTCCTTTGAGCAGATGCTCTTCAACAGAAACAGAAAATGTTTCCAGAGTGCAGAAATGTTTGGAATGTGGAATAACTAACGTGTGTTCCAATATTGTCTTCCATTCTAAACAATGTGGACATTGCATTCAAAAAAGATCTTCAGCCAAAAGCCAATACGATTTTTAGGCCCTAAGGGTCTATTATTGATTTGAGGAGGAGGCCAATACAAAAAAACTGACACCTCTCCCAAAATCCATTACCAAACACTTTTCTCAGCATGCAACTTGGCAGGCCAGGAAAGGGGGGTAAGCATGTGCTTCTCCTCCTGAATAATACCAGGCCACATGACCTAAAATATGCCCCAGCTGCATGCAGTGATGTGCTGCAAACACAGGGCAGAAATACACTACATTGCCAAAAGTATTGGGACACCCCTCTAGATCATTGGATTCAGGTGTTCTGTGAAATTTCCTTGCTACTAAATATCACATGGTCTAGTTAGTGGTATTGGTTAGTGGTATTAGTGGTAATGGTTAGTGGTATTATAACAAAATGGAAACAACTGGAAACAACAGCCACTCAGCCACGAAGTGGTGGGCCACGTAAAATGACAGAGTGGGGTCAGCGCATGCTGATGTGCACAGTGCGCAGAAGTCGCCAACTGTCTCCAGAGTCAATAGTTACAGACCTCCAAACTTTGTGTGGCCTTCAGATTGGCACAATAACAGTGCGTAGAGTTTCATGGAATAGGTTTCCATGGCCGAGCAACTGCATCCAAGCCTTACATCACCAATGCAAGGCAAAGCGTCGGATGCAGTGGTGTAAAGCACGCCGCCACTGGACTCTACAGAAGTTGAGACGTGTTCTCGGGAGTGACGAATCACGCTTCTCTGTCTGGCAATCCGATGGACGTGTCTGGGTTTGGCGGTTGCCAGGAGAACGGTACTTGCCTGACTGCATTGTGCCAAGTGTAAAGTGTGGGCAAACATCCACATCTATTTGCATTGCAGTGCTAAAACTCTAGAAGTGTGGCTACACTTTGAACGGTTTGTCACAGATATGCCAAAATGTTTGGTAGGGGGGAATGGAACAATAGAGTTTGTGACAAAGACTGTGAGGAAGCAAAACATTTTCCCTAATATTAAAAAAAAAAAAATTGAGTTTGTAATATCCATTTTTGAACTTTGCCTTCCCTGGTGAAATCACATGTGTATGAAGATTCCCTTTAAGAACTTGTTGATCACCCTCAGCATTTTTTTATATTTTTTCAAAAAACATAACAGGCAACCAAGTAAAAACAATACGTTATTGTTACATGGCATACTTTATCTATTGTTGTCTAAGTTATGCAAGTCTAAGCTATCCAATGGATATCTAAGCAATGGGTATCTTTTTTAGAGATAAAATGTTTTTGCTAAGTGAGGACTTATTTCAAATATGCTAAGGACCTGAAAGCCTGACACGAGCCAAAGCGTTTTATTTAATTTAAAAGAGTTATAGCTTGCATCAGGTTTTACTTCCTTTCGGTGGTCCTGGGGTCACAGGATGGGAAGTGATAGGAAACATCTGCATTGAGCAACAGATAACAACATATTTTAAATACAGTGAGGAGGGGTTGAAACACTGACATTGTTTTTTCAATGGAGTCCATGTCTTCCTGTCCCATTGACAACTACATCCCCATTTCTTTTTTCTTCCTCAGTGGAGTCACAAAGATAAAGTAATGCTTTTACTGCCAATGACATATGCCATTCGTCGCTGGCAGGGAGCCCCTCTAAACAGGCTATAGCCACCAGGACTCTGTTTAGCTGTGTAAAGCAAATAATCACCTTCACATTGGAAGTGAATCTGAATGTTCAGATTTCAAACCTGTGGCTGAATCAAGAGACTGCATGTCTTGATAACCTCTGGTGTCTATGGCCAATTTTAAATTTCATCCTGTTATTAGCAAATAGTAAGTGTATCAGAATTGCTATGTAATAGCAGACACAGGAAGGTGATAAAAAATAGTTTTGGTTAGGTTAAATGAAACTCGACACCAACCAGACCCAAATAGGGATTTACCTGCAAGTCAGCACTATAATTCAAACCATAAATTGAAATGGAGTAAAGTAGGGGGTAGAGTAAAGTCTCAGGCTTCTGCTGCTGTTTGTACCCCCACTGGGGAGATTTACCCTCGTTTGATGTACCAGTGACCACGATCAGCTAAATGGTATGTGAGGGACATATGCCCCAGGAGAATACTAAAACCCTGGCGGAGGTTCTAAACCTTCTCCAAACTACAAAACAAAGATTTGTTTGTTTGTGTCTCAATTAGAGAGGTTTGCCTGCACTCCTTATTGCAGTGGCCACCATCACTGGGACAAAAAGTGATACTCACAAATAGACTGTTAATGAAAAATATATTACAGCATTTCGACCCCCCACACTATTTAAAATACAGTTTTGGCTGGAATTACAATATAAGCATGTCCATGCATCATGCAATGGCATGTTGGTGCATCAGTGACCTATTTTAAAGCACCTACATTGCATTGAAATATGTAGTAAGGCGTGCTTATGTATCAAATAGAAAAAAGTTGGCATTTGCATACAGCATTTAACCAATGTTCAGGCTCATAAAACACATTGGAGATTAATTAAGTAAAACTAAAAGGATTTAAAGGCACATTAGGACACCTGCTATTCCATACAAATTTTGGTTTGTCTATTTACAGGTTCCTTTTAATGACATGTGAACTTGTTAGTTGATTGAAGTGCTGCAGTACATTCAATCTGAATTATGTCATGCCTCATGTTGAGAACGTATGGGTTCTTTGAGCTGGGTAATTGCAATTACGTTTAGTTATTAGTAATTAAGTGTTAGGTTTGGCCAATGAAATGTACACATTCTCTGTTTTTAATGTAGTTGGTAGTGTGAAGAACTAATTAAGATAACAAAGTAATACATATATTTCTCTTGTCAATAATGCCTTTAAAAATATTGAATTTTTTATGGAATCTATAGACAAAAGATTTAACAAAATACAAAAAATATTTTCTAATTTGACCAGTGTTGGTTTTCAAACATCAAGTGCTCCTGTCATTTTGTTCTATAATTTCTCATCTGTATAATGACACCAACATTTTTTTTCTATTATAAAGTATAGCAAAGCTATTTAAAAATGAAATAACAGCTTTTTCCAATGTTACGCTTTTCTGAAACGTGCCAGTAAAAAAAATGAGGAACAAACTAAGGAAAATGTTTTTTTTTTTTTTAATTATCAATGGGAAAAAAAATTAAATACAATATAATTGCTAAGAAGAGAAGGCAAGGATGGACTGAGTCAGTTAGGGCTGATCTTGGTTTTAAAAAAAAGGGTTGCTAAAGGGTTAAATAGGGGGAAAAATGTATTTAATACTTTTTTTTACATTTCATAGCTACTTTGTAACTCTTCTTGACAGTGTAGACTTGTCCTATGTAAATCAAACAAGTACCAGTTAACCTGGCCAGAGAGGGGCAGTTATTTTTACATTGACAAAAACATCATCAAAGAGAAATGTTTTATGAGTTGTGTTTGCTTCTACTCACCCAAAGGGGTGTCAAGATAGGTGCGGATCCCATCCAGAGCATGCCCCCCTCTGTTGGATGGGATCTGTGCCTATCTTGATAAGTAATTATGTTTTAAGTTTATACTAGATATGGCAGGGACATAAATTAATGTGGTTTTATTCCTATATTTATTGGATGTCAAATTTTATTTTTATTGGAAAAAAAATCTGTTGGAATCAATACATTAATACTGATTTTAAACAAATGCAATGGTGTGTGCCTCTTAAAACCCCAGATGAATTGTTTTGGTATGAAGTGCAAATCAAATTAACTGACTCTTGGGGATATTTGTGAATAAAATAGATACAGTAACGCAAACACATTTTTAAATATAGTGGGGAGAAAAGTTAGAACCTTTGTTGGGTTTTTATTAGTGTGTATGTATTTCTGTCCCAGTGACCTCCAATCTTATAATTTCTTCTCATGACACTTGGGTGAAGTGCTCTACCACACAGTGAAGATAAATCTCTGTAGTAGAGCCGCATACAGCACTAAAAACCTGATAGAGCTTCTAACCCTACTTATAACGTCAATAAAGACCATTCTATTGTAAAGTAGTACAACATAGAATAGTACATTACCTGAAGCTCCCAGAGGGCCAAACGTCTGTTAACCCATAGTATAGAAGACCTGCAATAAAGCACAAGCCAGTAAAAAAGACAGCTCAGCAGGTAGAATGTTATTTCTTTCAAGACAGCTTAGAATATTTCTAATCTACAGCAAATGAGATGGCACATATTTGTGCTTGGCTTATTTATTTTTTAACAAACCATATTGCTCAGCTGGTACAGTGGAAGTGATCTATGCAGTATTGCAGTATTATTAGATTTAATTAATCATTTAAATTGGATGCTGCTTTATGTTTAACAATGTGATGATACTGTAGAAAAAGTTACATTTTACCATCTCTTAAGAGATGGTTATGAAAAAACAGGTATTTATCTGGACTAACAAATTTGGTTTTAACACCACACCCATTATTTACACTATGTAAACAACGGTATTTTTTGTTTGGGACTTTCCCGTATGCAGGCGTTCCGCGAAATTTCCCTGCAACTAAATATTCCATGGTCAACTGTTGGTGGTATTATAAGAAAGTGGAAGCAACTGGGAACAACAGCAACTCAGCCATGAAGTGGTAGGCCACATAAAATGACAGAGCTGGGTCAGCGCATGCTGAAGCGCACAGTGCACAGAAGTCGCCAACTGTCTGCAGAGTCAATAGCTACAGACCTCCAAACTTCATGTGGCCTTTAGATTGGCAACAGTGCGTAGAGAGCTTAATGGAAAGGGTTTCCATGGCCGAGCATCTGCATCCAAGCCTTAAATCACCGATTGCAATGCAAAGCATCGGATGCAGAGGTGTAAACGCCGTCACTGGACTCTGGAGAAGTGGAGACATGTTCTCTGAAGTGACACATCATGCTTCTCTGTCTGGCAATCCGATGGACATGTCTGGGTTTGGCGGTTGCCAGGAGAGCGGTACTTGCCTGACCGCATTGTGCTAAGTGTAAAGTTTGGTGGAGGGGGGGATTATGGTGTGGGGTTGTTTTTCAGGGGATGGGCTTGGCCCCTTAGTTCCAGTGAAGTGAACTCTTAAGGAATCAGCATACCAAGACATTTTGTACAAATTCATGCTCCCAACTTTGTGGGAACATTTTGGGGATGGCCCCTTCCTATTCCAACATGACTGCACACCAGTGCACAAGGCAAGGTCCATAAAGACATGGATGAGTGAGTTTAGGGTGGAGGAACTTGACTGGCCTGCAGAGAGTCCTGACCTCAACCCAATAGAACACCTTTGGGATGAGTTGGAGCAGAGACTGCGAGACAGGCCTTCTCGTCCAACATCAGTACCTCAGGACCATTAGGACCTCACAAATGTGCTTCTGGAAGAGTGGTCAAACATTCCCATAGACACACTCCTAAACCTTGTGGAAGGCCTTCCCAGAAGAGTTAAAGCCGTTATTGCTACAAAGGGTGGGCCAACTTAATATTGAACCCTACGGACTAAGACTGGGGTGTCATTAAAGTTCATGTGCGTGTAAAGGCAGGCATCCCAATACTTTTGGCAATATAGGGGGAATATTTAGTGTAATCTCCTTGATTTACCCTGATATATTTTATGCTGGTTACAAGATTCTAATTTCATCATTTGTTCCTGATTTTCCATTCTCACCACTAAGTATGGGGCTCTTGAATCTCATTATCATTACCATGTGAGGTGAGGGTAACTTTCCAATGGTAACATCTGTTCTGGTGAGGGTAACTTTCCAATGGAAACATCTGTTCTGGAGAAAGCGGTCTAAAAAAGGAATTTTCGAGACTCAATCTCGGAATTAAAAAAAATTGAAGGGGGCGCATGCGCGCAGCTGACGATGAAGCAGGCCTTCTGAGACGGCTCCGCAACTCACCAAGGCAATCCCGCTCGTAACCCGGAAGTTCGCCCCGCACACCCGATTCAATACCCCAGCCAGCAATCGGGACGACCCCTGCACCTGATTATGTCGTCCGCAGCGCCCAAACTTCAGCAGAAGGGGAAACAGCAGCCCATCAAGGAAGCGATGGCCAGAGCATCGTCCAAGATGGCGCCCGCGGCCCTCTCACATGAGGTAACAGCCCGCGCAGCCTCAGTGTGCAGTAGTGATATGGACGAGGGGGATCTTAGCAGCCATGAAGGAGATCGCTCCCGCAAAAGATCCCAAACAGCTTTACTGCAGCGGTTTGATGCCATGCTCCAGAAAGCACTCCAATCCACATCAAAGCAGATAACTGACAGGCTGCTTAAGGAAATCAGGGACATAGGCCACCGCACTGCTGCATTGGAAGACAGATGTGATGACTTTTCAATCCCTTGAAAGGAACTTTAATGAAAGCTCCCAAGCCTTCACCTCAGATCCCTCCCCTACTCATAAAACAGCGCTAGAATCAGCCCGTCAAGCCCTAAATCTTTTACTCACGGATCATGCCGCCAAACAACTCCATCGCACTGCCCACAAATTTTATCTCAAAAGCAACAAAGCGGACTCCCTTTTGGCCTCCAGACTCCGACGGTTAGACCCCACGTTCAAACCTATTCGCCTAAAAACCCCTATAGGAACCCACACTAGCACTCCGACCAAGGTCCTGGAAATCTTCCAACAGCACCTCTCAAATTTATACGCCTCCCAAGACTCTTTCTCTACAGACCTGGCCAACAACTTCTTTGCAGGCCTAGATCTCCCCTGCCTCACATCATCCCAAAAAGCCTCCCTTGAAGAACCCTTTACGGAACAAGAGGTCCTACAAACAATCAAATCACTGTGATCTAATGTCATAAAATATGATTACCTAGAAATCTGTAACCACCCCATACATATGTATCCAGATGTACCTGCAAAATACTGCTACATGTTCTTCTATTGAGATAATGGTCTGCGCACCATGTTGTGTAATGTTTCATTCTGTTGGATGTACTGTGTGTTAAAATAATAAAAACATTTATATGGAAAAAAAAAAGGAATTTTCTAACTTTGTAGAATTTTCCTTGTACTTCCTGCCACACCTCTAAGACAGGAAGTAATTAATATATTTCCAACAGTACACAGACAGCAAAAAAATTAAAATACAGACTACTCTTTGTAAAGCAAAAATAAAAAAAAGTTTTAGAAAAGCTTTTTTTTCTGTGCCACAGGTGAGTCTCAGAGACAAATATAAACCTCAGCACAATCATTAAAAAATACAAATGAAACTTTTTGCTATTACTAGCAGGATCCCTAGAAAGAAACTTGGCAACACATTCACAAATAAATGATTTGCCCAAGAAAACTGTATGGAGTGAGGCATGATGCTAAACTAACTGAAAAGCAGAATGTAGGTTGACATATACTTTAAGATTATACCTTCCCTAAGAGTAATTTATAATAAATTACATTGAAGAAAACTGACACAAAGTAATCCAGCATGTAAGTAAATTGTAGCATGAAAAAAGTATAGCGATAGATGTAACCCCACATTAAAACATATTCTGTTTTATTGTATCCAATACTTCATTGTTATATGTCCTGTTTTCTTTTTCTCTATAGTTAAAGTGACATTAAACCCTCAGATTTTTTTAACATAAACCAATACTGTAATGTGTGCCTTACTGTAATCCATGGTAGTTTCCCTTCTCTTTGCTGCTCTTCCTTTTAAATCCTCATGTCTTCTCATGCTGTGGGAGAACTTCCCTTTGCAGCTGAGTGCCTCTTCCTGTAGTGCTGGCTCAGGTTGTGAACCTGCACACAGACACCATGGGGGTGATTTACTAACCTAAACACACGCACGCACCAGGTGCGTGTGATTTTCACACAGCAAAACGTATTTATCAACCAAAAAGTCTCTAAAAGCATATTTCCACTAATGCCATATATGGAAAAATCATGCACATGATGCATATATAATGCTGCTTCACAGTTTAGACAAAAATGGTTAGCTCATGCATTTACATTCCTGCATTCATCAACGCAAGCAACACAACATAGAGCTAATTTACACAACATCACCTTGCAATTCATGCTTGGCTTTGCACAACACACCTGCTGGGTGTGTACACACTACAAAGGTGTTTAGATTCCACCCATAGATCATGCTGGGAGGGAACACACTACAGAGGTGTATACATGTTTGTGGTGTGTTTATAAGGTTAGTAAATCAACCCCCATGTATCCATTTCAGAGACAAGGCAGTCTGCTGCAAAACAGAAGTTCTGCCCAGCATGAGAACAGATACAGATTTAAAAGGAAGAGCAGCAAAAAGAAGGGAAACAACCATGGATTACAGTAAGGCACACATTACAGCATTGTTTTATGTTAAAAAATCTGAAGGCTTAATGTCACTTTAAGTAATATGAATTGAAGGAGCTGCTAGTGGGTTGATTTTCTAAAGGAGTATGAATTGTTCACATAGGGAAAAATAAACAATAAACTGCAAGAGAAATTAACAAAAAAAGGAATGTTGCTGGCACATGATTGGCTGAAAAAATTAAACATGTATTTTTCTTCTTTACTAAGCTCACTTAGCAAATAAAGCTCACCCTGTTCATTAACACATACAATCTCAACCAACACACAATGTTAATAGCTAATTGTCTTTAATAGTGAAATGTACAGTATAAGTTCTATTTTTATCTTAATAACCTTTTAATTACAGAGTGTTTATAGATAATCTTGTAATAGTTGTTCCATCTTAATGTATAAATGTATTACCATGTGTTATTTTCTTCAGAATGTTCATCTAAAAGGACACGCACTATATACAGCATACAGCTTAGAAGCTTCAGTGAAAAATTGAAGAGCCGAATTCTAAGACCTGTAATGAAAAGGTCATAGTAAGTTTAAGATTTTACAATGACAGCACAGCATGAAATGATGTGAATATCAAATACCTTATTCAACAAGGTATTTTCTAGAACAATCATTGGGGTTGATTGAATACAGGAGTGTAAGTTGTTCACTTAGCAAAGTGAATTTTCACTTTGCAAAGTGATTATTCACTTAGCTTAAGTAGGGTTTACACGGTTAGATTTTCGAACAAAAATTTGTCGGAACATTCGATAATGCCATCAGAGGCTTGGCGATTGTCGTTCAAAATTTAATTTGATGTTTGTTTTCATTCAACAATTGATTTTGAAATCAATGGAGTTTCCCAAACAAAAACCACATTCACTGTTAGAATGTTGTTTGATTGAAAAAAAAATTCAACATGCTCCTTCACTTTTTTAATCACTGTGGTTAATATTGATTATTGATATGAGCCCATCAATGATTAGAAAGTTGAACGAATGTTCTGAAATTGATTTAGTTTGTTCAAAACTCTAGCCATGCATACCCTACTTTAGTGAATGAGGAGAAACTGTGTTTATGTCAATCATCCGAGTATGTGTGAGCAAAAATCCTGTTTATTTAATGTTCCTGTAAAATTAGGTACACCAATGTAGCAGATGGATTTGGGTGTGTTTTAGATCATGAACTTAATAACAGCACACAATGACTGTCTACAGCTTTTAAAACTAGCAAGATACTGTCTTGTTTTAAGGTAGGCATAGACTTAGGTATGACAGTAAACTGAATGTTTTTTCCAAACAAACCACTGGCTTCAAGGGGGAGTATTAACCCCTTAAAGTAAACCTTTCACAGACCTTGCAATTGAAACATAATGGGGGAATTTATGAAACCCTGGAAAAAATCTAGAGCAGCTGCCCATAGTATCCAATCAGTGCCTCTTTTCAGTTGTTTTAGATCATGAACTTAATAACAGCACACAATGACTGTCTACAGTTTTTAAAACTAGCAAGATACTTTCTTGTTTTAACATAGGCATAGACTAAGGTATGACAGTAAACTGAAGGTTTTTTTCCAAACAAACCACTGGCTTAAAGTAAACCTTTCACAGACCTTGCAATTGAAACATAATGGGGGAATTTATGAAACCCTGGAAAAAATCTAGAGCAGCTGCCCATAGTATCCAATCAGCGCCTCTTTTCAGTTGGTTCAGTTAAGCTATGAAAATATAAGATAGAGACTCGCTGGTTCCCATGGACAACTGCTCTATATTCTTTCTGCTCGAATTTTGATACCTTACCATCAGTGAATGATGACGAAATGCATATGCAGATGTTACCTTCTCTAAAAAATACATGCCTGACCGTAAACAGTGTGATGGATTTATAGACTTGCAAGACTTTGACTTCATTCTTTTTGTGAGAAACTATCCATCATTTAGTGTGAAGCAACCATTTATTTTAACAAGATAAAAACAATGGGAGTGGCGAGCGCACAACAGGTGTGGACAGTATGGAAAAACCTTAAATAACTGTAAAAAACTTTAAAAGCACTTTTAAAAAAAACTTTTTTTATTTTATATATATAAATAAAAATAAAAGACTTTATAACCGGGTGTGGGTGAGCGAGCTCCTAAATCAGGGAGAGGAACCCTGTAGACAATGTGAAACAACGAAAGAAGCAACAAAAGAAGCAACAAAAGAAGGAACTAAAGGAGGAGCGCTACAACCCTGTAGCGCTCCTTCTTTCGTTGTTTCACATTTATTTTAACAAGTACACTTTTCTTTTGCTCAAAACTAAGCAGCCTTTCCCATTACATTTCTGGATGTTCTCCATTATCAAAGCATGTGACAGTGTTATCTAATAGATTGTAGCTCACCTAGATGCTAGTCACAAGAAAAATGGCTGTTTCATTTTGGCTATCATTTCTGAGAAATGAAATTAGAAATTGAACTTCAAATTTCTAAGAAAGTAAATTAGAAATGTAATGTCAAAATGAAATATTTTCTTTTTATTGGTCATATTGTATTTTACGTAAGACTACAGCACCTATTCTATGATGCACCATTTTATCTATGTTAATTAACACTTTATAACTCATGCACAAAGAAGAATCTTTAGAACAATAGCCACATTTCAATGTTCCTACACATGTTAAAATAAAGCTCTAATGAGGAGTCTTTTTTCCTGCAGAAGGGTGTGGTCCACAATGGATCCTGGGAAATGTAGGCGATCCTGAGATACAGGCAAATGGAGTTCAATGCAAATCTTAATTGTTCCTGTAAAAGTCAAACCTTGCCCCATTCTTGTACCTTCCTAACTTTGCTGTTGGTCATGGGGGCCTTGTATCACATGTAACCCAGCTCCTGTTGGCTCTTTAAGAGCATCTTAATTAGGGTTGCACAGATACCAAGTACAGTACTCTGTACAATTACGAGTACATGTACCGATACTTTTGAGCTCCAAGACTAGACTAGAGAAAAATAAAACAATTAGGAGGCAGCTGTCATTTGTAAGGAGCACACAGAGCTCCTGGGATTTGTACATCTCTGTTTTAATGCACGATTTTGTTTTTATAAATATTAATAAGTACTGATACATTTTTGTTTATTGTCATGTGACAGTTTTTCTAAAACAATACAGACTAATGATTTCAGGACAGTGGTGGAGCGCCAGAGCCAGGTCTCAGCTGCAACCGCTGCAACCCTGGTAGTTCTCATGAAAATGCCAAGTATCTGCACTGTTACGCGAAAAGTATCTGTGCATCCCTAATCTTAATGCAGGAGGCTTTTTCTGTGCATTTAGATGATGTGATTACTGTGATTAGATGTTACAGTGATAATGTGATCAGGAGCCCACTCTACCAGCTTGCAATCATTTTTATGTAACATGGAGCTGTCGGTGACAGCACAGTCACAGCCCTTAAAGCACATGATTGAGTGCACACCCAGTGCAATACAGATATGCACATATGTAACAGGAAAGAATAAAGCCCACCTCCGTGCTGCCAAATACAGTATATGCATACAGCCACTGGAAGAGGTTAAGAACCAGTGAGGAGGTGGGAGGGTAAAGTTAAGATCAGGTAAAATAGAAATTAACATATAAATTAAGATTATTATATCTCTGGCTCTACTAATTTTTATATGCAGTTTTTGCTAAAGGTAATCGGTGCTTATACAGATTTGGGGCGAATAATGCCAAAAAAGAGCATAGCTAGGAAATTTAACCCCGAGCCACACTCGGGAATACCGCCAGGGAGGTTAATATATTTTTCCAGTACAAATGTATTGTGATATAATAATACATTATGACCACTAGATGGAGCTGAGAGGCATAGGAAATATGTATTTAGTATAAATGTACTGTGGCTATTATGTAGTATTATACAGTATCACTATACAATCAATCTAGACAAATTTATTTTAAAACCCATTTCCACCTTTGTAAGTGATTAGCAGTTATTATGGTAATGTTTATGTGCAGAGATTATGTATATGTGTGTAGATTTTCATGACTCACATTGCTGGCTTTCTTTATCTTTTTGTGGACGTTTTAGTAGGACTGAGTCCACAGGAAACTCAGTCTGACACTGGGGTCGGATTGTAAAGCAGCTGACTCCCTCCCTGTAAATCATTGTAACAAGATCACTACACACCAGCTCTGTCTTTCCAGGTCATAATACACTGTCCATGTGAGGTTGCCACTATGTATATTAATGAATGGGGAGAAAGCTCAGAGAGAGAGTGTTCTCAGACTCGGGATTACCGCCAGGGAGGTTAATATACACAGACTGCTTGCAAAGCACAGAGGTGGTCATTTCAAAAGGAGCAGTAAATGTCTGTGTCCTTATACAGCAACTGCACATGCCTGATTCATGTACACTCAGTGTAATTTGCTGGAACTAGTTTTTTTTTTTAATTCCTCCGTAAAGGTGGACATGGGCTTTAGGAACTTTTGTTTTAGGCATTAGTCACACAAAATGATTGTTCACAGAGGTGTTAGTAGCATATACGTGCAGCAAATCTATGTGGAAGATACACTGCCTCATCAAGGCCCCTCTGTATAGAGTAGCCCCTAATCTAAGAAAGCTGCCATCCGGGGATATACCCAGTAATACATAGATTAAGGGCAGGTATGCCTGAAGGTAACTAATTCATCCTTAAAGGTGCAGATATACATCAGAAGCCCTGCATGGCACACAGACAGCTGAAGGCTTGCAGTGTATCCCAGCAATTAATATCTAGCTTGTTAAAGGTGCATGTTTCCAGAACATTTACCATCTAGTCAATAAACACATTCAACACTGTTTATGTCAGGGAAGCCCAGCAAGCAGTCACAGAACTGGTACTGTGAGAGCCATTGCGCATGTGAGATGGTTTCATGCTAGTAATGCTCTTAATCGTGTGCATGTGGACGGACGTTGATGCGTGCATTCACGCACAACGGCACTCACGCAGATCGGCATGCATGTGCTCACGTCTATTCATGGTGATATTTAAACTTGCATTCTGCATGCACTCAGTGCTGAGAGTCCTTCAGCTAGTGTCTGACGTTGACTTTGATTCCTGATAGTTCCTGTATCTGACCTGGCTTGATCCTCTGGCCCTGCTGCTCTCCACCTGCTCCAACCTGGGCCTGTTCCACTTATTTGCCTCTTGTCTGCTGATTCAGCACCACTTATGCTGCACGCCTTGACCTTGGCTTGTGCTGACCCATCTTCCGTCTTCTGATTCTGTACTGCACAGCTTGCCAGTTACTGACCTGGCTCGGCTCTGACTCTGCTTATCTGAATTCCTGATATCCTGCATGCTTCTAGCCGACTACCTTGCCTGGTGCTTCACTCCGGTGTCTTCAGCATCTCTACCCAGTAGCACCCGTGCCTCACGAAGTTTGGCCCTGTTCCACTCTCAGAAGCGCTCAGACCCGTGCTGCAAGGGAAGGTCCTTCTTTTCAGGGCTTTAGCTACCATGGGGCGAGTAGCACAGCTGAGGGGGCACAGCCAGTGCAGGCCTGGCTGCGCCCCCC